GTTTTTATTTTAAACAAGCTTTAGTATTGATTTGACCGCTGTAGCGAAGGACCCAGCCCGAGACTTAAGAAGTGACTGGGGTGACAGTTCCAGGTCGGTTTGACTTACATTTGGCAATACCAGACTAAACTTTTGCAAATCAGGAGCCTACGATATACTCGGTTATACACTCTTAGATATACTCGGATTTTTGATGCCCGGTAAATAAGCCGACAGCTAATAAGACGACAACCGCATTTGAGGGGACTTTAAGACGACGCTACATTTCAGTTCTGAGAGAAAAACAGTGCCAACACAAACAGCTCAAACTAATCAATCCAATATGATTATAGTTAAAATTTCAAGCCAGAAGCTAAAATAATTCATTCTATAAAATTGCACGTATAATAAATAATTAGTTCGGGTTCAGGTGCGGATCTAGGAATTTCTCGAGGGGGGGAGGGCGGATTTTCAAAAAATTTATGAAAATTTTGTCGACCTTTTTTTCTTAGTTCTGAGCTCTCCCAAACCTGATTTTCTGAGCTCTCCCCAACCACTATAAAGACCCTGTTTTGGCCAAACTTTCTGCGCCGCAGGCAAAATTTTGATAAACAGGCCAAAAATACACTTTTTGAAAAATTTATATAAAAAAATTGCGTTTTTTTGGCGCGCGCTTCCCTTTCAAAATTAGTATAGATTGGCGCCCAAGGCGCCTTTAGAAAAATTTTAAGGTCAGTCAGCCAAAAATGGATATCTCAAAATAGTGCAAAGGGCGGACCCTTTGGGTCGGCAGGGGGTCGAATCCCTGAGGGGGAGTGGGGAGGTCCCGCCCCCCTGAATCCGCTACTGTTCGGGTTGGGAGAAACCAAAGAAGCATCAGCCTACCTCCATGATCAAAAGTCTTCGCCTTTTTAAAAATTAAATCATAAAGACACTTCTAAAAAAACCTTAAAAAATAGTTCAAACATCAGGGAATGAAAACCTGAAAACCAACGCAAAACCTGTTTGTAAGATAATTATTGCAATCAAAACAAGAAGCAAATAGACAACCAAGCAGTTTCTAGTTCTGAGCCGATAAAATGAGCAATAATTTTCGACACGTTGCTCATAAAATGTCAAATTGACAATAACGAGTATCAAGTATTTATAGAAAATAGGCTCATTCATAGCTTAGAACTACTTGACTATTTTCGCAGTAACTGTGGGAGAGCTGTGAAACTCAGTTGCTGTGTTAGCAGCAGGGAATGTTTTGAAAAAAAAATTCAATAAAACTTCGATAATCTATCTGAACAGATTAAATAAACCTCTAATATTTTCACTCCAAGCTAGAAAAAAAAGGCTAGTTGTTGGCTTTTAAAACAACCAATGAGGCTCTATTATGAAAACCTCACGTGGATTTATGTTAGTAGTTTTTGTTGATCCAACTAAAATCTGGAGAAAAAGCATCCCTTCATCATAGTTCATTCATATCATTTCAAAAATTTGATCAGAACAAAACGGATCTTTTTATGTCTTTGTCAAAAAATCAGGTCTAATAGGAGAAGCTTTTTCGAATTTGTTCAATTTCAAATATGTTATTTTATTTATCTTCCCTTTTTAGATAGAAAATTTGTGTTTTGCGTCCAAATTGGCTTTCGCCCGGAAAAAATCCTGTCCTGATTCCAATTTCAAGTTTTCTGACATATTTTGAGAAGTTTTTAAATTTGCCCGGAAAAAAAAACAATTTCTGTCCAGCATATAGTCGCGCAATTTTTAAAAACCACATCAACACGACAAATTGAATATTCAACTTGCTCCCCTATTGGAAATTATTTGTGTTCCGACTTTCGTTACGAAAGTAACGGAATATTTGTGCTCGGGTGGGTTTTTTTTTCTTCAGACAAATTTCGACTTTTTAACTAGCCATTTTGACGGAACTTTTTTAAATCATTCAAAAAGTATTGTTGTCTTGAGCTCAAATTTGAAAAGATATTTCACCTGTGATCATTTTTGTAAAGTTACGGGGGTTTAAAGACTGCCATTTTGGTCAATTTGGGACAATTAACGCGCGATATATTTTGCGCTATTAACGCGTAAGCGGAGATTTAATCCGTCTTAGAAATCGTTCCAAATTGGCTCATTGATGCTTTTATGCCATATTTGATTTGTAAATAGGCGCAAAATCTATCAATATGACGTGTGGGGGATGTTTTTACATAAAATTTTTTTTTCAAAAATTTGTTTTTGTTTTTTCTATTAAGATCTCACTTTCTCACTAATTAGCCAAAATGAACAGCAGCACATCTCAATTGCATCAAATGTGAGCTCCATTAAACAGCTGGTGGTTCAATGAGTTCCCGGCCACACTTAATAATTGAATAATTATTTGTAGTTTCAGCGATTCGCAGAGAAAATTTGAAAGGCTATCTAGACTGTTAAAGCATAGTCCATTTCTCTTATTTCCCGACGTTCCAGACCGAGTTGTTTTGTTCAGCGAAGCTCTTTTTTGCAACCAAAGACATTTTTTTGCCTCTAGAAATTTTTTGTGGTACCACTTTTGCAGCCGCTTGATGAAAACAGGAACCAAAGTATTCAAAAATTGGCGTTTTGATCAAAACTTTGCTAAATATAAACAAGTTGGTGCTTCACGATGACAAATAAAAGTCGACAAAATTTTTTCAAAAAATCATTTTTGCGCACTACTAGAGTTTTTCGCGAGATTCATTACGCATGACTGATTCAGTGCGAGCTTACATTTTCTACAAAGTATACCGGGCAAGGGAGAGTTGGAGTTAGCTTTGAAGTTTGATACTTTCAAATCTGCTTTTCTTTGATGCATAAAAATTTGGATCTAGTTAACAATCTCTTCCCTATGGTACCCACTTAAGAATCTCCACCCCTATAAATTAATACAGTAAACAAGCACTGAGCTTTCTATTGAGAATTCTAATTTTGCTGCATTCTGATTGGTCGAAAAATCGACCATTTTGACTTACTTAACAATCTCCCCCCTTTCTTGAAAGGGGGGGGGGGGGATTGCTAAGTAGATCCAAGCTTATTTGCCATAATTTATTTGTTACAAGGAGCGAAATCTATCCTTTTGAACTTTATATGGCGTGTGGGGGGATGATTTCCATTTAAAAAATCAAATTTTAGAAAAAAAAATTAATTTTGCTTTTTTAAATTTTTTTAATGTTATTATTGCTCCATAAACTTTAAAAGGCAGTAGGAACACTCAGGGCTTCACCCTGATACGAACAGTCTTGCTATAAATGTTTGATTACTATCAATATTTGTCAAACTGGAAGGCCAGCTTAAGAACAAACATCTTGAAGATGAGTTCAAAAGCATATGACTGCTTAGTTTTAGTCAATTTGAAAGTTTAATTAACTTGAAATGATTGAATAATTTGGACTCTAACTTTTCCTACTCTTTCAAAGAATATCTTTGTTCATGCATGCCTTGGGCCATATATATAGATTGATCAAATGTTACAATTGCCAACTAATGATCTCTGTAAAATTATATCCTTTCGTAAATATTGTACATAATTATTGATTTAGTTATGCAAATTATACAAATAGGGATCTTAAATCTCAAATTGGCACCAAAACAATGAAAACTGACGGTTTTTATAAGATATTCAACTTTGTTTTGCTTCAGTTTATTTTAATTACATACGGATTACGCTTTGATGAAAACTTGATCGCAAAAAAATCAAGATCTCTTATTTTGGATGGTGTCAACAGGGGTGTTTAAAGTTTTCACATCAAAATATTATCACACACTACAAAACAACTTTTGTTTTTTGTTCAAAAACCACTTGCGAAGAAATTTTTGTATTGTAACAAACTTATTCTCAGTAATGAAAACATTGCTTAAAATAGAACGCTTAAAATCATTAATTGGTTTGGAAACAAGCTGAACGCATATCAAAGAAAATGTTCGCTAGAAAATGAGTGTCTTAATGAGAAAATTGAATTATTTTCAATTCTTATTTCGTTTTAAACGTGCTTCTATATCATTCCGATCGCTGTAGCTGGGGACCGGAGTCTAGGTCGGCAAATTAACTTTTGACCGACGCGACCCACATTTGGTAATTCCCAGTCATTTTGACTTGCCATTGGCATTTCTAGACTAAACCTTTGCAGATCAGGACCTGCGCGACCAAAAAACCAGTGCCACCGACGCAAAAATCCGGAGTAAAGACGTGTTCGGATAAATTTTCTCAAAAAATTCCAGTTATCAAACCAATTTCAAGGAGAGATAACATATTTTAGTTTTATAGTTTTTTTTCAGCTGCAGCCAATTTTTTACTGTTGGGAACACAGAATGACTCAACTTTGAAAATTTAACTTATGAGTAAATCTAAATTTTTTCTCAGGTTTTGTGTAAAGCATTAAATATATTTTAAGATAAGCTTGCTTACTCTAACGAATACTTCGCGAACAGCCATAGCAAATGTTATTTTCTCCATGTTTAACTGGTTTTTGCCCTTGTAATTGGAAAACTGCTTCAATTAAAATAAAAAACACCCCGTGTACAGTGAGCCAAGGCGTTTTTATGCCATATTGAAACATAGCGGAGTTTTCTGTGGAGCGACTCTTATTGGTGATCGTTTCTTACTCACTGCAGCTCATTGTGTTGCTTCATCGGATCGTGAGTACCTCCAAAAATTTGTATATATATATATATATATATATATATATATATATATATATATATATATATATGTTAAAATATATAATACTGTTGGAAAATATATATGTTAAAATATGTAATAGTTTTTTTCTACTGTTTGGAAACGAGACTGACTGAACTTTGAAAAATAAACTTATGAGTAAATCTAAGGTTTTCCTCAGCTTTTGCGTAAGCCATTTTAGTACAGAAATTTCAAGATAAGCTTGCGTACTCTAACAAACACTTCGCGAACAGCCATAGAAAGTTTCTCCATGTTTAACTGATTTTTGCCCTTGTATTTGGAAAACTGCTTCATTTAAAATAAAAAATTGAGCACCCCGTGTGTAGTGAGCCAAGAGCCAAGACGCTTTTAAGCCAAATTGAAATTTAACGGACTCTTCTGTGGAGCGACTCTCATTGGTGATCGTTTCTTACTCACTGCAGCTCATTGTGTTGCTTCATCGGATCGTGAGTACCTTCCAAAATTTGTATATATATTATATGATATAGTATAATATAAATTAAATAACTATATACATGTGTTTCTCACTGCATCGAGCTGTTTCGTAAATGCCGAAAATTATTTGAACATGGTAGAAATATATAAATTCTTGGATCAAAACGTCATTCAATTGTCAATTAGTTATATTATAACTGCATCAAATTCTTTCTCTGAGAAAAATTAGCTGTTTTCTCAAATCAGTTATCAACCGCAAATATAACAAGACTGCTCGCATAAGGGCGAAGCCCTGAAAGTTTCGACTGCCTTTTAAGGTCTATGGAGCTATAATTACATGAAAAATTTCAATGTAAAAAATTTTTTTTTAAAAATGTAAAAAAAAAACATCACCCCACACGTCATATTATTTTTAAAGTGGTAGGTTTTGCGGCTATTAACAAATCAATTATGGCATATAAGCTTCCTTGAACCAATTTGGAACAATTTCTAAGACAAATTAAATCTCGCTTACGCGTTAATAGCGCGAAATTTATCGCGCGTTAATTGTCCCAAATTAGCCAAATTGGCAATCTTTAAACCCCCATAACTTTACGAAAAATGATCACAAGTGAAATATCTTTTCTAATTTGTGCTCAGGACAACAATACCTTTCGAATAATATTTAAAAAATTCCGTCAAAAATGGCTAGTTAAAAAGTCGAATTTTGTCTGAAGAAAAAAAAAACCACCCCGAGCACAAATATTCCGTTACTTTCGTATCAAAAAACGGAACAATTACTTGAAAATAACTACAACAAAAGGTCAAAATAAGAGAGCTTTTTGAGCTTGGAAAACAAGAAAATTCGACTGTGAATAACCAGCAGCAAATCAAGTTGAAAAAAAAATGAAAACACAAACAAGACTGCTCATATTAGGGCGAAGCCTTGAATGTTCTGACTGCCTTTTAAGGTTTATGGAGCAGTAATAACATTAAAAAACAAATTAAATAAAACGAAAAAAAAAATTTTCTAAAACTTGAAATTTTTTTTAAACCATCCCCACACGCCAAATAAAGTTGAAAAAGATAGATTTCGCTCCTTGTAAAAAATGAATTATTGCAAATAAACTTCTTTCAACCAATTTGGAACGATTTCAATGACGGATTAACTCTCCGCTTGCGCGTAAATAGCGCGAAATATATCGCGCGTTAATTGTCCCAAATTGGCCTAAATGGCAATCTTTAAACCCCCGTAATTTTACGAAAAAAAATTAAACCCCCGTAATTTTACGTAAATAGCGCGAAATATATGGCGCGTTAAATGTCCCAAATTGGCCAAAATGGCAATCTTTAAACCCCCGTAATTTTACGAAGCAATACTTAATATCATTAAAAATTTAAATATACACCATATAAATTAATAAAGGATAGATTGCGCTCCTTTTAACAAATCAATTATGTCAAGTAAGCTTCTTTCAACCAATTTGGAACACTTTCTAGACGGATTAAGTTTCCGCTTACGCCTTAATAGCGCGAAGTATATAGCGCGTTAATAGTCCCAAATTGGCCAAAATGGTAATCTTTAAACCCCCATCACTTTACAAAAAATGATCACAGGTGAAATATCTTTTCAAACTTGTGCTCAGGACAACAATACCTTTCGAATAATATTTGAAAAATTCCGTCAAAAATGGCTAGTTAAAAATTCGAAGTTTGTCTGAAGAAAAAAAAACCCACCCCGAGCACAAATATTCTATTACTTTCGTATCGAAAGCCGGAACAAAAACTAATTTGAAATGGAAAAAAATAAAACATTGGAAGCAAATATTTGGAATCCAAAATGATACGAAACAATTTCAAAAGAAATTTAGTGATCGGAATACTGGCAGTAAAGCATTCTCATTTTTTCCCAATCATTCTTCCCTTGCGCACACTCCTGTAGTCAAAGTATTTTTTGTTGCTATGTCGTCCTAATTCCGATCACCAAAAATGTATCAGTTTACCAAGATAAACTACATCCAAAGCAATATACAAAATGTAAACGCATTTTTTTTCAAAAGCTACGCTTGCATATTGCAAATGTTTTTTTTTGTGATTGCAACGAATCCAGATTCTAAAGTTAAATGTTTTGAGAAGATGTTGGGACAAAAAAAGTTGCATGCAAGGTTTTCCTGTGAATCTTCTGCAAAAACTTTTGCTCGTGGCCAAAACTTGATTATAATTTAAAACAGTCAAGCATTTCTCTCATATTATTTTTACTTTGAAGGGTAAGAAATGAGACCGAAAAAGTTCACACAGAATGAAACTTTTAAGGAAACAAACGAAGTCATTGAAATTATCTGTAAAATGTGTTTCTATAAAATATGTTGTTATCAGGACCACATATTAGAATTGAAGTAGGAGATTTCACGCGGCATGGAAGGAAGCAATATTATGAAGTTAAACGAATTTTTGTGGCTCCAGGGTAAGTATAGTTACCCTTTCTTTTTTTTATCTACAGTTATAGTTAGTTTCCATCAATCAAATGATGTTTTATTTGTGATTATTTAGAACTGCTTTGTTTCTCTTTGATTAGATACAAGCAACGAGAGTGCCCTTTGAACGATTTATCAATTGTTGAAACCGTTCAGAAAATTAGTTAAGCAAAAACGCGGGCCTTAAAAATATGCAGGAACAATCTTTTCCAATAAATGTAACCCGCTTCAAAAAAGTATTGAGTTTCAAATGATACAATTTTAGTCAATTAAAAAACACATTTAGTGTAGTTTTTTGCAGAAAACGTGTGTTTTCATTTGGTTTTCCACCTTTTTTCATCATTTTCCAAAAATCTAATCGCTCTCACAATTAAAACTTTTTGCTTATGAGGATGTTTTTGCTCTCTAATTCTTCTTTTTGAGATTGCAGCCTAGTGTTAAAAAATACAAATCTGTGAAAACAAAATTTTTTCAAGAGTTCGAAAAGCACAAATTTAAAACACACAAAACCTATTGAAGATACTTTAATTGAGATCTTTCTTGACACTTAGTTTTCAACGTATCATGACCAATAACTAAAAATAAAAACACATTTTTTCAGAGTGTAGAAACAAATCTTCTTCTAAGATTTAAACAAACGCAAAAACTTTCAAATTTTGGAACAATAAAATGCAGCATTTTGAAATAAGAATAGAATTGTTTTATTCAAAAATTTATAGTTTTATAAGAACAATCAAATTTAAAACGAAACCAAAGTTTTGCAAAATATTAGCTGTTGTAAGATATTACAAAAATATTAGTTGTTCTTTTTTTTAGAATTTGATGTAAAGTTGATATTTTTTGCGATAAAGAAAAAAAAATAAATCGAACTTGCAATCCATGCAGCACTATGTTTATTTCACTGGGTTTCAACGACCGAATGATAAAGTCCCGGGTTGACCTCCATAGACCGAAAATGCTAATCATACAATTTCATACACTTAGTCTATGGAAAAATGACTAATTTTTTTTTCAGGAAACAAAAATTAAAAAACGTTTTCAGTCGTAGCAGCCCAAAAAAGGCTTAAATGTTTTCCCAGCATTTGAATTGATTGTAAAAAGCTTTTTTTTTTACAAAAAAATTTGAAAAAAAAAATTCTAATCATACAATTTCTATATATCCAAATGACTAATGTACAATATTCATACAAATTTCATACATTTTTTGCAAAATGAGCTTTATCGAATTTCAAAGGTATTTTATAGTTGTTTTGGTATCGAAATTGGTATCTCTTCATAAAAAAAAGGGGAAAAAATGGTATGAAAAAAATGCTAACCATACAATTTCCATATATGGAAATTGTATGATTAGAATTTTTTTTTCAATTTTTTTTGTGAAAAAAAAGCTTTTTACAATCAATTCAACTGCTGGCAAAACATTTAAGCCTTTTTTGGGCTGCTACGACTGACAACTTTGAATTTTTTTAATTTTTGTTTTCTGAAAAAAAACACTAGTCATACAATTTCCATATATGGAAATTGTATGACCAGCATTTTTTTTGATGGCATTTTTTGTGTTTTTTTTCAACCGCACATTGATTTTCGTATTCAAACAAACATTTTTTGAAAAAAAAATTTTGCATGCAAAATTTAATTTTTTGTGTGTATAACGTAGTCCTGGATATAATAATATTGGATTTTTGTTCCTTTTCTCGTCATATTTTTTTTTTAAAAACGCTTAAAACTCCTTTTTCTTTTGTATGACATGCTTTTGTATGCCTTGATCAATGTCTGGTAATTTAAAAATTCAAAAGTTCATTACTTTCGTTATATTATTTGTCTGAGACAGTAGTAACACATATCAAGCTGTTTCCAATGCATTTTTAATGCAAGACGGCCAAACCGTTGGTTACTACGTTTGAGTAACCATGGTTTATGTCATTTGTGCTCGGTTACGAACACAACCAAAAATTTTGAGAAATTAAAATGTAAAAAATCAATATTTATGTTTTATGGAAAAATGCTAGTCATACAATTTCCATATATGAAAAAATACTAACCATAGACCTTTCATGCAATTTTCTGTACGTATGGAATTGTATGGAAAGTGTATGACTAGCATTGTTCCATATATGGAAATTGTATGACTAGTGTTTTTGGTCATCCCGGGGTTCGTGCACTTGATCGTGAAAGGCGTTTAATTGCAATCCGTCTGGTCAAGAGTCTTTCAGATTTTTTGTATTTCCATAATTGTATATCATGCTAAAAAGTTATGGAAAAGGTGACTCTTTTGCTTAATTTTTTTGTACTATGAGGTAAAAAGCAGTGGTTAAATGTTTTTTTTTTCACTGTTGATTTATCAGGTTTTACGACTCTTACAAAAAATTACTATGATGATCTCAGAATGGGTCTGATGTAGAAATTATCCAGAACATATACATAATTCGTTACTTTTTCTCCTGTTAAAGATATCTAGGAGTAAAAAAAAAACAGTTCGATTCAGCTAGTGCTGCTCATTGTGCTTCAGAACAAACAACCCGGTTTGATCACTGATTGTTATTTATTGCCAAAAATCAGTAAATAAAGATTAGAGAAATACCACGATTAATCATTCAGTGCAACTTCAACCTTGATCATCGATGATTAAACTCTAATCTTTGAACATTCCAGAACAGCGCAAATTTTTATAAATCCCATCGCGGACGCAAATTTTTGATTTTTAAGTCAAATAAAAAATAGATCAAAAACAAAACGCGTGAGAGAAATATTTTAAGATGAGGCACAAATTACTAAATTTATTTTAAAAATGTTTCAGCAAATTGTAAAACTTTTGACCAAGTCATAATCCTTTGTTTTTTGTTACAAGACAACTCTTTATAATATTGAAGGCAAAATATTTCATTGAAATCCGAAGTTTTCTTTAATTATTTGGTTGCAGTATTTTGTCATTTTTTTGTTAAATGAGGTATTTCCTTGAAATAATTTTGTTAAAGTTAGGAACTATAATGTTTTGATATTACCTCTGGTAGATTAATGATAGTAAGGTAAAAATGAATAGCCGAATCTGAAAGTAAAGTATATTATCGGTTCAAAATTGGAAAAGATTACGAAGAGAGAGAATTCCTGTTGAAGACCTCCCATTGGTTACTTTGGGTGCGTGTGGTATGGGCTCTGTTACGCCTCCAAGATCAGAAATGAAATTCGCCGACACACTTCAAGGGAACACTAAACGATTTTACAGATAAATGAATATTTTTTCTAATAGAATTCTAATATCTTGGTCGAGTTTGTTTGCGTTTAAAAAAATTGTAATATCTTGATTGAATGTTTCTGAACTTTTAAGAGTTCTAATATCTTGATTGAACGTTTTTGATTTTTTGAAAATTCTAATATTTTCTAAAAAGGTTAAATTAGCCCCAATTTTAGGAAATATTGTGTTTTCTCTGGGTGAGAATTTCAAGCTATTCATCGAATGAAAAAAAACGCAATCTTCCGCTTTTTTACTCTATGCTGTAATACCCAGCAGATATTTTTGGTCTTGCAAAGCTGGTACAGAAGACGACCAAGGCAATTTACCATTAGCAACAGATAAAATTGACGACAAAACAAAGCCAAATATCTACTTGATAGCAAATGTGATGTAAGTAAATTTTTCAAAAGGAGGTATTTTTCATAAAAAGAGGTATTTTTCAAAACTTGAATTAAATATCAAGCGATGATCAAAAATTTACAAACTCTATAAACTTCCGACAAATTTGATCAAAATTTAAAATTTATAAGAATTGCAGCAAAACTTACCAAATTTGAGCATTTTCCAGCAAACCAACGACTAAAAATCACTCGAACATCTTGTAAAGATATCCTCAATTGCCGTTTTATAGGTCCTATAATTTAGATTTATAATACAAGAACCCGTTTTCATTACTTTTTCAGTTTTGGTTACAAAATTAATTTTGTGTTCTTTTCAATACCAGAGATATTATTGTACGAGCGTCTGTTTGAATCGATCCATTCGTTTGGTTTGGAGTTCTGTAATGAAACTCAGATTTGTACTTCGCCTGTGAACGAAAGAAGTAAATTGGGAATCATGGACAACGGAGCTCCATTATACAAGCTCAGTAGAAACAGTTTGGAGGTTAGTTATTCCTAACTAGTTTTTTTAAATTTGTTTATGGTTATGATGATTGCATTTGGTCATTTCCATCATGAATAAATCGACTTCCGTATCGAATAATTTGAGCTTGACTTTTTCAATTTTGGATTCCAAAAAAATTTTGCTGCTTCATGAATTAAGTGCTGCGCTGAGAAGTCTGTGGTACCGCAACTGCTCCTGCATTTGCAGTAACCATATTATGGCCTTGGCCTAATTGTTCATATTGTTATCTATAAATTATATCATGTTATTATTTATGTCAAGGTCAATAATGCGTGACCTTTATTGTCATTGAAGAGATTCACTCTCTCAACTGTAGCTCGGCGTACAGTTAGCCACAGATATTAGGCTGATAAAACAATACGGTTTCAACATTAAATTAACTCTTAGAAACCACTACTGTTTTCATTATACAACACCAGAGGTTCTATCCGTTATCACATGGCGCAGCCAGCAGGATTCGGTTTTACAGCTCAAGATAATAGGACAGATATGGGAATCCCAGTATTCTGGGCTTCTGCAAACTCAGATCCACCGTGGAACTTCGAAACATGGTTTGATCAATTCCTATTAGCTGTTACGGTCAAAGAGAATGTGGATCCAGAAGTAATGTTAGAAGAACCTAAAGTTGTTCTGGAAGAACCTCTACCAGTTACTGAACCACCGGTACAAAACGAAGATGCGCCTGCAGTAGCAGAGAGAGAAGCCCGGAACAGATTGGCACGGGACAGAGTGGTTCTAGAAAATGAAGAACGGGTTATGAGAGGACCTAAAGTAGGACACAACGTATTCTATCACGAAGTTGGAAAACGTTTGACATCACGATTATTTCTCGCGTTGGGCGCGGAAGGAAAGAAAAAGTTTATCTTAAAGAACCCGCACACAGAAATATCCAAACTTGGTTTTCGGGAAATAATGCGTTTAGCACAAATCTCATTTGAGAAAACGAAATGTATTACTTACGAGAGATACAAATTGTTTACACGATCTCATGAAACGAATGAAACTCTCGACAAGCAGCAAAGGCGGAGCTGGGAGGACTGGAAGAAGAGTTGGTGAGAGATCTATTTATATCCCGGATGAGGA